GGAGCCCCGGAGCGGGATGCGGCTGGCGGGGGGAGGCAGCCCCGGCTGTCCCAGGTGCCCGGGAAGTGTCCAGGAGCGGACACCTCCTCGGGTGTTTCCCCCATCGTGCTTCAGTGGTGGGGAGAGACGAGGTGGTGGGGCAGGACCGAGGGGAGCGGGATGGGGCAGGGAGGCAGTGCGAGGCCAGGGGGCCGCGAGCGGCTCTGGAAACCCTCCCGCGGAGCATCCGCGGCGCGGAGGGGCCCTGCGCTCCCGCGGAAGGCGGAGGCTTGGCCGACATGTGGAGGGACGACGGCTCCGCGTCCAAAAGGGGCTGTTTTCGTTTTGCTCTACTTCTTAGGAAAATTGCTGTCCTGGCTGCGCAGAGGAGGACAGGCCGGCCGGGAGCCAGCGTAATTTTCCACCTTCCCCTCCTGAGCGATTTAACACGCACTTCGGGCTGGGTTTCTTCCCTCTCTCTGCTTCCCACTCCACCCCGCCCGTGGGGGACCCGGCTCTAGCTCCGGCAGGGGTTCTGGGGCTCCTTTGCCGATTTGGGGTTTTGCTGGTTTTGCTTCCCTTTCCCTTCAGGCCGCGCAAAGAGCAGAGCTGGCCCTGCGCGATAAACGCGGATCTCCACCTTGTGCGTAGGGGTCGTGCTTTTCGTTTGGGGTGATGCTGCTTTGAGGCAGGGCACCCCTGGAACACTTCCCCGACGGACACGACCCCCACGGTACAGTGCAAGCACAGCCCCCGCCCCGCAGTGCGCTCCGTGCTCCGCGGGGCACCGCGCAGTCCCGCGCACGCTGGAGCTGGACCCTGCTGCTTCCCACACGCGTGGGCAGCCCGTGGGTCAGAGCCACGCATCAGCACAGCGTGCCCGCGTGGCGCTTTTTGGAGGTCCATTATTAAAAGTTGTTTTCCTGCAGCAGGTCCGGTCTCCTGGGTTCAGCAAAGGGGGCGCCGAGGGAGGTTGGCGGTCTTGGTTTGGGCTTGGTTTGGCTGGGATCGCATTGTTTGGGTTTGGCTTGGCTTGGTCTGGTCGCATTCGTTGCGGTTTGGTCTGGTTTGGTTTGGTTTGGTTTGGTTTGGTTTGGTTTGGTTTGGTTTGGTTTGGTTTGGTTTGGTTTGGTTTGGTTTGGTTTGGTTTGGTTTGGCTGAGTGAACTTGAGTTTGGTTGAACTGGATTGGGTTTGGTTGGACTGAGTTTGTTTGAATTGGAGTTGTTTGGACTGCGTTTGGCTGGGTTTGGTTGAACTGAATTTGGTTGGGTTTGCCTTGGGGAGGCTTCTCTCTCCTCTCTTGCCTCACTGCAGTTCTGCTTCTCAGAAGGCTTCCCTCTCTTCTCGGATAGAGCTCTGCTTGGGAGGACGTGTCTTCATTTTTGTAACAATTCCCAATAATTTATAGACTGAATCTGAGTCTATACAAAGGTAATAAATCTGAAAAGGAAAAGCTGGCAGAGACTGAACCTCACCACCTGATATATGGCCCAGGTGGTTTAGCATTGGCTGCAACCACCGCAAGCAGCCGGGGATGGGAGCGCCTCTCCGAGAATAGGGACCCCCTCCAGACACCTGGGGGTGACAGGGCGCTGTCCCCTCGGGGACAGCAAGAGTCCCGCTCTCGGACAGTCCCGCATCTCTTCTTCATGGGGCTGTCACTGGCGTGGCCAGCGCTGGTTTGTTTCTAAGCGCCATCCTTAGTTCTGGGGTTATTTATAGCAGGAGGAAGCGGTGCGGTTTTATTTGCGGGTTTCCAGCGTTTTACAGATCCCTGACGCAGTCCCCAGCCGGGTGCCGGGAGCGCGGTGCTCTCCGGCCGCCCCACGCGGAGCGTTCCCACGCGGAGCTGTCCCGCCGCCCGGGTCCCCGCCGCAGCTCCGCGGGTCCCGCTCGCCCCGGCCCTGCCCTCCCTCCGCCTCTCCCGGCCCTTCCCACGCCCACGCGGGTCGCGGCTCCCCAGGGATGTCCCGGCGGGGTCTCTGCGGCCGGGCAGCTGCGGCTCCTCCTCCTCCCCGAGCTCCTCAGCCCCCGAGCTGGTGGGAGAAGGAGCCCCGAGCCCGGTGCCCCGTGCTGCCCAGCCGCTGGGGCCGCTGGGCCGCTTCCAAGGCCTGGGAAGAGCAGCCGGCACAAATGGGACATCAAGGTTTGCCTTGGGTGGTGGCCTGGCTGAAAGGGGCGACGTGAAGTCAGGGAGGCAACGAATGACGTCACGCGAATGGAGCCGTGACGTAGCGCCCGGTGCAAGGAGCTGCCGGGGAGATGTCCTGGCCATCCCGGAGCAGAGCGGCTCGGGGGGAGGCAAGAGGAGAACGCGCAGATCTGGGGGTCACCGCCCTGGAGGAGCGCTCTGCTGTCGTGACATAAGTGTCGGGAGCAGCAATGGGAATAACCGGGCGGGTTTGGTTCTGCGCTGTGGGACTGTGCCCGCTGCGCGGAGCACGGAGGGAGAGGGTGCCCTCAAATCCACGAAAGGTGTATGAGACACACAGAGAAGACATACATGGTATGGATTAGATGGATATTAGATTAGATAGACCTATGATATAGATATATTCTCCCACTGCCGAGCCGTGCTCAGGTGTGCAGTAAATGCCCGCCCATGCCACGGCCCGGGCGCGGACACTCATGGAGACAGCCAGGGCAGAACCGGGATCTGCTCCGGCTCCGCAGGGCCAGCCCGTCACTCTCCGTTCAAGGGCAGTATCGGGGGGTGTCTGCCCCGGTGACAGCCCAGGAGGAGCCGAGGGCTGCGATCGCCTGGAAGACAGCCGGACCCGGCGTCACCGCGGTCGCCGCCTCGGCAGAATCGCTCTGGTGCCTGGGCAGAGCCTGTCTTTGCGCCCAGCCGGGAGGAAATGAACCTAGAACGAATATTTTAAAACTAGATTTTATAGAACAGAATAAAAACCGTAATTCGGCGCATTATTTGTTTAAAAAAAGGAAAATTAAAAGGAACGAAAAAATGCTGCCTCCGGTTCGGAGGCTGCTGTGAGCAGTGGGTTTAAAATAGCCGGAGCGGAGCCAGGCTGTTGGCAGAGTCGTGGAGTCACAGAACCATCAAGGTTGAAAAAGACCTTTAAGGTCAACGCCTCTCTCCAGCACGGCCCGCTGGGCTCCGTCCCCCTTCCGCCGAGGGCGGGGGAGCCCCCGCAGGCCCATCCAGAAATAAAGGGAAAAAAGGGACGGTGAAGGGTCTCAGACACGGTGCACGTTTGCAGTGTATTCACCTCCCTCCTCCTTGGGAGAAAGGCCGCTCCCACCTCTTGCTTCTCGCACTGGAGGAGGTCTCCATCCTTCCCGCGCCTCCTGCATCAGCTGAGCCCCTTGAGGCTCAGAGACCCTGGTAAATATTTGCATTTTAAACCACGTCCATCTTAAACTGCCCCGAGGTTGTCTGGTTCACCTCGGGTGCTCGAAACTCCCAGTCAGTTCGCCAGGCTCATGAGTGAAGTTCAGCCGGGAGAGGCGAACAGGCAGAAGGACATCAAGATGTCACTAAAAAAAATCAACAAAAAGAAAGAGAGTTCGGGAGAGCTCACGGTGACAGCACCCACATGGGCATCCCCTGAACGGTGCTAAAGAGCAGAGCTGAAGGGGTTCGAAGCTTTGGGCTCCCCAGGCCTTGCAGGGTCTGCCGGGGGTGCGGGGCGGGCCCGACTCCATCACCTTGGCAAGGTCGGGAAAAGCCTGCACGGCTGGAACACTGCTTCCATCCACTTTTCCATAAAACAGTTCAAAAGTTCTCTCCCACATCTTTACTTGATTTGAAAGCAAAATAGAATGTCAGGATAGATCAGTTAAAATGAGCCGAGGAAGGAGAGAGGAGAGAGGGTCCTTTCCCCAGGCAGCCAGAGCCAGGGTCCTCCTCCCGTCTCCCTGCTCCCCTTTCCCCTCACCCCCGGTACCCGCGGTTCCCACCTTCCTTCCCCGTGGGTTTTTCCACTTCGCCAAGACACCGAGGTGTTTTCCAGGAGGGCCGGGGCCGTATCCCGGCCTGCGTGGGCCGCCCCGGGGACGGGCCCTGCTCCACACGCCCCTGCTCGGGACAGGGTGCACCGATACAGGAGAGGGGGTCTGCCGAGGACGGGTGGGGGTCTCCCACCCCCTCCCCGCCGGCTGCCCAGGCCCTCGGACTGGCACAGTCGCAGAGACCCCTCCCGAGGGTCACCGCGAGTTCGGCTGCAGCAGGAAAATTATTTGTTATTAATCATGTGCTGAAAGATGATGTGATGGGAGAGATGGCACTGCCGCCGCTCCCCGGGCTGCACTCTTATAACCCCCGCAGCCTGGAAAATAATGTTAAAAAAGGTTAAAACCAGTTCCGACAGAGCCCACAGCCCCAGCACCCCTCCAGGAACATCTTTCCCTGGCACTGAAACGTGCAGTGGGGTCGCTCAGCCCCGCGCAGATACACTGAGGAGTGCGCGGGTGCGCATCCACGGCCGGGTGCGGAGATTCCGCGGGTCGTGGGGCCCAGTCTGGAGGGGTGTGGGGGATACCCGTGGGGCTGCCGTGCTGCGCGGGGGCGCAACCTGCGCGCCGCCGGCTGCTGGGGGATCATGGAGGGGGGCGAACTGACGGGGTGCTGGGAGCGGGCGGGGGTCCCCAGGGGATTGTTCACCTCCCCATTCGTTTGTGAAAAATTTTTAAATACATCACCGAATTTGGGGGAGGAGGCGGGTGAAGAGGAGGAGGAGGGAAGGCGCTCCCGAAGGAGCCGCGGCCGGGCGGCGGGGGCCGGGCGGGGG